TTCGGAAAAGATGTCAAGCAAATAAAGTGGTTAAAGGCAAATCTTTCCAAACGGTTCAAAATGAAGGATTCAGGGGAAGTCCATAGCTTTCTTGGCCTAGATATCCGACGTGACTTTGAATCGGGATGGATGATTTTGTCTCAAGAAAGGTACATTTCAAAGATCCTAAATAAATTTGGAATGGGGGATTGCAACCCTGTATACACTCCAGTTGACCCTAGTATGAAATGGAAGAAAAATACAGGACAACAGACCAATGCACCATTCAAGGCTTTATTGGGTTGTCTTCAATATTTAACATTAATGAGTAGACCGGACATTACGTTTGCGGTCAGTATTTTCAGTCGATTTCAGAGTAACCCAGATGACACCCACTGGACTGGACTTAAGCGGATTCTGAGAAACCTTCAAGGAACCCGCAATCTATGCTTGATTTATCGAAGGAGGGACAACGAGGCACCACTTTTGGGATATGCGGATGCAGATTTTGCCAATGACGAAGAGGATAGGAGATCAATTTCTGGAAGTGCGTTTACGGTATATGGGAACCTCGTTTCATGGAGTACGAAGCGGCAACAACTCGTCAGCTTGTCATCAACCGAGGCGGAGCTGGTCTCGCTTTGTGCAGCATCCAAGGAGGGCATTTGGTTGTCAAAGATGTTGTGTGAGGTTGGTACTCTAGCAGTTCCATTCACAATATTCGAGGACAATATTCCATGCATTAAAATTGCGGAAGAGCCCCGCGATCACCAACGCACTAAACATATTGACGTGAAGTACATGTTTATTCGTGAACAAATCCAAAATAAGAAGATAACATTGAAATATGTGCCTTCTGAGAATCAGGTAGCTGATGTTTTTACAAAACCCCTAGCAAGATCAAAGTTTTTGAAAATGATTAGTCTGTAAGGAATGGAAATTGAGGGGAAGTGTTGAGATGGTAAAAATCAGGCAATTTCCTCTGTGTTATTTTTGACAGTGCATACGTTTGAGAGAGAGAGAGAAAGGTGAGCTTTCGCTCAAGAGCAGAGAGCTCGGCAACAAGCAGCGCGACAAGAGAGCTTTTGCTTGATGGTAGGATTTGAAGAGATATCAATCACTAGTTTAACATGTTGCTTGGCAGTTAGGACGAAGAGAAGAAACATTGTAAAATCATTCTGTATTGGAAAAGCTGATCAATAAATATTGGTGAAAAGTATTGAATCTATTTTGTTCAATAGTGTTTATATCACTAGGTTGTGGTGAGTGTGCTCGGCGTGAGTTTTCACGAGAGTACTGTTCCCTTTGCTTTCCTCGGTCGAGGATTCGGCGTTGTGTTTGTAAGTTGTTTGAAGTCTGAGAGGGAATTCCTCAAGACTGTTCGATTCTCCATTTTGCTCATCTCAATAGAAATTAGTGGTGACGAAAATGACATCAATACGGACGATCAACGAGGGACAAAAGCAAACAATAGTGGTAGCGACGAAAATGACCCTGATACGGACGATGACCTAAATAGCTACAGCAACTGCGGCGCACCTACCAAAAACTCAACCAACAACTCTGCAAAGGTCAAACCAGGAATCATCAGAGCAAGCCGCCGGTAATGCAGCACGGATTGATCTTATGGAGAAGATGCTCTCGAATATAAACGATGCCTTGAATCGCTTCCAGGCTAATACCGAACCGATACCGAATGATGATGTCGAGAAAAGCTGGAAGGTTTCTGGCAACGCAGACGTTGTTGGTAATGTCGATGAAGGCATCTCCACCCATGTCCGCTTGGATCTCGTAACCCCTCAAGAAGAGGGGTAATGTGTGGTGCATATCTTGACTTCGACAGGTCCAGGGATGCTATCAGACAGTGCTCGTCTGTGCTTGGAAGCGTTCTCTCGAGCTCGGAAAAGTACGAGTCGGTGCCTCGCCCGGCACGGAAAGCGTGTCGAGTCGCCCGCTCGACTCTAGCTCGGTGATCAGTCGTCGATTTATGATGCGTTCAAGCAGCTTCGCCATGCAGCTGGTGAGCGAGATTGGACGGAACGCAGCGGGTCCGGTATCGAGGCACCACGATTGCATTTCGCCAGCTGTTGGGAAACTCTCCACTACGCCAGATCCGGCTGAGCAGCTCTAGCAGTGTCATCTTCACGGACAAAGGTAGACGTCGAAGCAATGGGTACCCTATCATGTCAGGTCCTGTCGAGGCAGCTCGCCCTTTCTCGAGAGCCCACAGAAGTTCGCTTAGGGTAATGTCGCTGTTGTACACGTCGTCCGTGTTTGGCGAAACATCTATGGACTCTCTTTCAGCTGCTGCCTTAGTCTTCTGAAAAGAAGTAGGGTAATTGGAGGTCGCAGATCTATCGCTGTAAAAACTGGCTAGCGCTTCCGCAGTTTCTTCGGGGTCATCGGTGAAGCCATCCGATCGCTTGAGTGCGATGGTACGTTGTTGTCGGCTGCCACGTAGCGTGTTCACCGTTCGCCACAGTTTGGTTGTCGTGCTACTTGGGGCAATTTTGGAAACGAAGTTCTCCCACGATCGTTCTTTTGCTTCCTTTATTGCCTTTCGTGCTACAGCTCTGGTTTCCTGAAACCTCGCCAATGCAGCGGGTTGATCAGGATCAGATGTCTGCAGCCGCCGCAGAGATCGAAGACACTTTCGTTGATGTCGAATCGCCGCCTTTGCTTCAGGGCACCACCATGGTACCGCTTTAGGCCCCATACGGCCGCTGGTTTGCGGTATGGCACAAGTTGCTGCTGCAATTATCTTCTCCGTGAAGCTGTCTACGTCCCATTCAACATCTGGCCGGATGGTTTCTGCGGTGATACGTTCATATAACGACCAATCAGCGCGATCGTACAACCATTTCCGCCGCGTCGTTCGTGAGGATGACCACCCAGGAATAGAAACTGTTATCGGGAAATGGTCACTATTGTGCGTGTCCGGTATGGTTCGCCACGTGAATCTGCGAGCCACACTCTCGGAGCAGAAGGTCAAATCGATTGCAGAGGTGTTGCCTTTGGCCGGATCGATGCGAGTGGGTGAGCCATTGTTCAGAATTACCAGCCGCTTGTCCAAAGTAGCTTCGGAGATGAAACGGCCGAGCGCGTTCACTGTTTGTGATCCCCATGCTAGATGATGAGCGTTGAAATCCCCCAGAAACATGATAGGACCTTCCAGTCGGTCGAGTAGATCACTCAACGCATCCTGACACTGTGTTGAGCTCGGCGGGACGTAGATAGAGACTACAGTTATCTGAATCGGTGTGTGGATACGCACAGCGACGAGGTGTAAGAAGGTGTCTACTTGCAGTCGCTCGAAGGGTATGCCTTCTCGGACAGCAAGACCAACCCCGTGTTGCCAGTGGTGCGTGTTATTGGATTCCAACAGTAGCGTGTAGTTCTTGTCGATGTATTCTGGTGGTGCGACAGTCTGATTCTCCTTGGTCTCCTGGAGTGCGATGATGCAGGGTTCGAGCTCAGCTATGAGGAGTTTCAGTCCGCTGATGTTGCCCCTAAGCCCACGAATATTCCACTGAAGTGCGAAGCAGCCACCGTGGTAACTGATACTAGCTGACCGTGTGATGGACGACGATGAGGATAGTGATGGTCTTCGTGTCGGTGGCGGGTCGCCTGTAAAAGAACAAGGTGCCGCAGTAATCGGTGCTGGTAACTCTATCGATTCAGAACTTGCCTGTGGGACGCTTGGCCCCACAGTGCCGGCTGCCGTCGAAACCATTACACTAGTTTTTCCAATACCGACAACAGCCGGCACTGGGGAAGCACTTTGTTTAATATTTGCTCGACGAGTACTTGAAGAAATTTCTCCGGGATATAGCTCTGGTGGGGATATAACATGATCTGTAAAGATATTGGGCACGGCAGTACCTTTTCGCGGTTGTATCATGATGGGACTGACCAGTGGGACGTCTTGCCCCACAGTGTCAGCCGTTGCCGAAACTACTACACGATTTCTTCCCAAATTGCCGGCAACAGCCGACACTGGGGAAAGACTTTGTGTTGCTTGCTACGGTGCTGTCAGGCGTTGAAATCCATGGAAGAGCTCGGAGTGAAGAGAGTGACGGGATGCTGTTGATTTTGGTTGCTCGTGTAGGGCGGCGGCCAGGGCAAAGAAGGGATACACCTTCCTCCTGCCGTCTATCCCAAGTTTCCAGTGTCGTGGTTGTGTCGTAGTTTCCATCGGCTACAGCGGTGAATTCACCATCAACGGGGTGGAGAAAGACGTCCCGGATGGTTCCTTCAGCCTGCTGTACTTGCGTTGGGAGGAATACTTCACTTTCCTCACTTCCAAACCGATTACCTTCGTTGTCAGTATTCGTGCGTAGGTCATCATTGTTATCCAAACGTTGTTGTGAGACAGGGTTATCAAAAGCGCTTGTATTGGCTGGCGAATTTTCGATTGTTGTGGGTAAAAAACGAGGTGGTATTATGGTAGGGTAGGTGGCATATTGTTCTATCGCTTGATAATCGACCGCAGAGGGAGATTTTCCATCAACGGGTTGGGGTAAGACGTCCCGGACGGGTCCTTCGGCCTGCTGCGCTCTCTCCAGTGAGAGTGAAGGAGGTACTACACTTTCCCTCCCTTCAAGTCGATCGTTGTTGCTGTCCGGTTCGCTTGTCAGGTATGAATTGCTGGTCGGTGTTAAACGTACGGAGGAGTTTTCCTTATCGAAGATGCTGGTTAGGGGGCGTTTCTTCGATCTCAAACACCTCATCGATTTCTATGGAGTCCTGATCGGCTGTACCTTCTTCTTCTGCGGGTTTCTTCAACGGTGGGCTTTGACGTCCAGGTGAGCTGTTGTTACTTCTGTTGTGCCTTTTCTTCTTCTTGCTGTCCCGGGGGTCCGTTGACGCTGGCGATCTGGTCCTGAGCTGCATTGATGTTTCGGCTACCTGAGACTCGGCAGGCTTCCTTCCGGCGGATTGGCTTCGTTGAATCGGGGCAGGCGGTGGCGGCATTGATGTGTTCTGCTGCGATTGCGACTGTTGAGTTTGACGTGTGGTCATCATCCTGATGTGGGCCAACAGCTTATCGATTTCTCGTCCTTTTTCTTCATCGCGTCAAGCAGCTGCGTTATTTCGTTATCTTTCTCCTGCATCTTCTTTTCGAGTTCCTCCAGCTTCTTGCGGTCGGCAGTCTTCTGGGCTGCAGCTGCGGCGTAATTAAAAAACCCTGATTCAATTCGCTTGCGGGCTTCGGGGTACGTCAGGTTCTTATCCACCTTCATCCGGATAACATCCACCTCCTTCTTGTAGACCGGACATTGTCGATTATTCGGACGATGGGGTCCACCGCAGTTGATGCAGTGAGCAGCAGCTTCACATTCTGCACCCTCCGACAGCTCATGCTCGGCAGAGCAATTCAGGCATCGTTTCGGGCCAGGACAACGTGCACGAGGATGACCATAGCGAACGCAACCGTAACAAAGAAGAGGATTCGGATAATATGGACGGGTAGAGACTCGAAGTACACCAATTTTGACTTGCGACGGGTAGTTGCACCTGTTGAATGTTAGGAGCAAGGCGGACGTATTCACCGGCCTACCGTTCTCCCTTCGAGTAATCCGTTGGATACGGATGACCCCTTGGCTGATGAGACCACGCAGGACATCCTTCTCCTCCATACGGATCGCCTCGAAACACGATATGACACAACGGCTCTCGTTCAGATTCGGATGCAACTGAACAACCACCTCCGTTTCATCCATAAGGGTAGTCAACTTCAGCCACTTGTCAACTTGGGCCGGATTTCTGACCTTAAGCGTGTACCGGATTCCTTGCGCTTCAGTCGAAGCTTCTCAATAGGTCCATTAGCAGCACTCTCAACCGACTTCCCCACAATGAAGGGATCCGGCAGAGGGGTATTCTCGTTCTTACTTGTCAACTGCAGGTACGTCAACGCTCCAAATTCACTCGACGATATGGCTCCTAAACCTGTCCATTGATGTCTTGACCCTCCCGCGTCGCCGCTACTAGCGGCCGTCATAGTCACTCTACCCTACCCTACCACTTTCTCGCTATTAGGCACCGCAAACGTTGGAAATGTTTGAAAAAGTAACAACGGTCACCCGTTGTTTACCCCAGAGACGGTAAAATAGAAAAAGAAAACAAAGAACTTTCCTACCTTACGCTCCTGCAACGTGCATCAACAACCTCACTTCGCCCTTCGACAAAAAACTTTTCACCGAAAACTTCCTATTCAGGGAAAAAACTTTTCACCGAAAACCGAAAAAATCGGTTTGTTCGCACTTGAATACCCCTTGGTACTCGGGTCACACAGCAGCGAAACCACAATGGGCCACCCTACACACCGGTAGAACGATGCGATGGCGCGCCGTTGTTGTCACTATTGCTGGTGGCAGAGGCACTTTAGTCGCACTTATTTCACTAAAATCTTCGCCGATTAAGATCGGACTTTAGTGTTAGACACTAGTAATCACTAGTCACTTGTTGCTGGTAGCGTTTTCAGAACGAAAAAACCGCGAAAAACCACCAAATACAACGATATCCCGAGCGCGCGCACTTTCCTACTGTTAGCAACTTCGGGGGGCGACCCCGGCGTAGTGGTTAACATCCATACCTCTCACGCCAAAGTCACGAGTTCATATCTCACCCCCGGACAAGTCACGAATGACCCAAGAGTGTTAAAGTGACTATAATAAAAAAAAAAAAAAAAAAAAAAACTGTTAGCAACAATGTCCCGAACTCGAATCATCATTATAACATGACCCCCTCCCCCTCCAAATCATGGCTACGCCCTTTTTTACAAAAAATATTATTATCCTTGAATAATAAGATGTATGTGACAAGTTAGAGTGGTTAAATATTTTTGGCCAGATAGAATTAATAAATACCCCACTGTGCGACGTTAAATAAAGGAAAGAGAATAAGAAGAATAATTATAATAATAAGAAGAAGACCTTTGATAAAAAATAGGGATTTTCAAGTATCTTTCAGTTCACTAACGAATAGAGGTAAAATCGCTTCGATTCAACAGTTGGACAAATAGTTCGATCTTAAGGCTCAAATGTCAATCAATCAATCACTTGCTTGTATTTGTTTTCCATTTTGGTGGTATTGGTGTTATCGAGAATATCACAAATCATGAAAAACTAATACAGCTACATCTTACGTATTTTATGAGATTTGATAGATGGGTAGTATTGAAATCATGCTGCTTAGTATATTTAGTATATTTTCATAAAATCTCAAGAGGTCGTCCCAAAAGTACTCGAATGATGCAATCCATTATGCCAATTTATTTATGGTAATAGTAAGAATACAATAAAATACCCAAGTACGAAAAACGACTTGTGATCTGACGATCAAATGGTGAAACGACCCCAATGAAAAAAAAATGTCACTGAATCTGGATATTCAATCTTTATGGTTTGTGTACATTTTTATTTTTTAATGTTCTGTTTGTCAATGCACTAGCTTTTAATTACAACCTCATTTTCTATTATTTTTTTAAGGAACATATTTTCGAAGAAATCCATTAATTTATCTTCAACTCTCTCCTGGAAGTAGGCTGCCTCAAACGATACCTCCTTAACAACGTGGTCATTAATATTGTTACTGTTGACGAAGCATACTACAGCATTCGTTGCGGCAGATGCATGTAGCGATATCTGTACTTCACAATGAGTTTTTTTTATCCAATGTGACACTTTCGCCAGAAATCTTACATCTCATCTTAACCGAACTGTCACGAACAGAGCCCTTTATCGCATTTTTTTTTTTATTATTAAAATAGTTTTCCCGTCTGCGGAAACGCCTGAAATTATATTTTGTTAAATGTTGATATCAGTGAAAGTAAGGACTCAAGTGTATTTTATGTTGATAAATTACCATCAGGAATGCAACAAATAAAAGTATGACATTTGTCAATAAACATTTTTCGGCCACTGAGGACGTACTGAAATTTGTCATTTATCAACTGACTGATTGGAGCGATTATGGATCTGTTTTGTTTTATAAAATTCCATGTATTAGTTGTTAAAAGAATACTGTCACACTTCTGTGGCAGTGTTTTCTTAGTAAATCCCACAAAATCTACAACGTATTTGGTCAAAATTCGTCCCTTCGTATATTCCTCCATTTCTGGGACACTTAGATTCCTCATAAGTTTTTGAGATGATTCTTCAGTTAGCAGTAGAAAAAAAAAACTTTACTTGAAGTTATTTATGATTATGAATTTATAACCTACAATGTACTTCTGCATTACTTTAGGCTTTTCATGCTCCAAATCGATAACTCGTGTAGCAATCGTTACGGCATTTTCACCGTAGTCAAGTTCCATAGGATAAACTTGTACACGTTTCCTGTTGAATTCTGGGCGACTTTTTGACCTGATCGTAGCTATTTTTAAGCGTTCTTGTTCTGCTGCTAATTCTTTAATGAATTTAGATGGGTTACATCCGGTAAATTCACGCATATATACATCATGCCATGAATACCCTTCATTGTGTTGAAGAGCGGTAATCAACACTTTTCGTTGATACGAATCTCTACTGGTGAAGTTCAGCCGCTTGCCAGCATTATACTTGCATAAACGACTTTTTCAGCGCTGCAAGAAAATGTGTGTGTGTTTGATTATTTGTATTTATTTAAGCTATTTTGATTTTTAGCTAGATGATTCTTCAAAATGTTTTTTTTTTTTTTGTAACTGTTCTGCATGCATGACTTCTTCATATAGGGTGGGTGAGCCAGTAATGCAAGAACTAAGGCAATTTATTAAACAAAAAATATACGGTCTACATACAATTTTCATGCGATTTTCATTTGATACACAATGGCCTTATCTTTGTTGTTTATGTATAGAGACAAGTTTAATAGCGTTTTTTTTTTAACTTTGAAGAATTTATACTTACATATTGCTGGTTTTGTTGTGATTCAAAAACTCAGCTTTGGCGGCAACCATATCCACCACACCTTGTATTTTAGAGAGTACTCCATACTTCTGCAACAATTCCACATGACAGTCATCGGGATTGGTGATTTTTGAACAAAAATAATCCCTGAATTTTTGATGATCACCGAACACATGCGCAGGCACATTCCTTATGTCATGACGAAGCCCTTCAATATCGGAACCATTCGTAACGTTTGCGCAATGTGTAATTGCAGCTCTAACTCCACGTGCGATACGAGCACTGTTTGCAGCTACCACATCTGCTACATCCTTGGGACATTTTATCTATTTATTAAAAATAACAGTGATATATTGTTATCGTCTGATATCGATTCTATAATAAAACTCACGTCACGAAGGTTTTTTTCCCATATTTTTGCATGTATGATTGCAGCATAATTGATGCTCAATCGATGGTCCATACACACTTAATTCAGATCACCGAAGTCGGTAGGAATTTACCGGGTTTTTGAACAGCAGAACAACTCGGTAAAATTTTCAAATGCCCGTTACACGTGAGATATCAAGAAAATTTATAAATTTTATTTTGCATCAATAAATGGGGTAAACTGAACAACTTCTGTACAATTTTTATAATAATTGGATTTTTCACTGATTTTTAAACTTTTACCGAACAGTTCTGTAGTTCAGAATTTACCGAACGACGGAGGCCTGGATTAGTGTGTATCTGACTGAATTTTTAATTCGTGCAACGGTTGTAGAATCACCATCGGTTACTAATGTGGTCACCCACAAGCCTTTTTGATCCAACTCTTGGAATCCCTTGATCATAATATCAGGTTCCATCCCTCCGGATGACCCAGTATAGTTTCGATAACATTTGTGGGTATTTTGTTGATTGATCCGTGAGTTTCTGGTACATATAGAACATCTTTTGTTGCGACAACCCACATGGATGATTTTTCCTGTTTTTTCTCCCACAATGACGCCACAACCTGAGGCTGAACTATACCTTGTCCCGTAACTTCGAGCAGCCCAACTGCCATCTAATGAAGCCTTGATTTTTGCTGGTTGATCAATTTGAACGATCATTTCATCAGATTTCAAATCTGCAAAATATGCAGCTTTCTCCTCTTTGATGGCTTTGTTGACCGAATCATCACATGATTTTTCAAGAGTAGTATCCATTTCCATTTCGTCAAGGGCAAATGTTTTGAGGGGCATGAATGGCAAATCACAAAAACTGAATAACTGCTTCGTATGTGTATAAGTGCCACCGGAACACAAAGTAGCCCAAACAGTACATTTTCTCAATTTTGGTCGCTCTGATGGTTCTTCAGTTCTCAATTTGAACAAAGTTCCACATTCATCACATTTGAACCACATTGTCGAAATCATGCACTTATAATATTTTTGATGCATGCATAATACTCCACGACACATTTTTGAATGGTCAGCTTGAGCACGCACCAAACATTTCGTTACATAGTTCCATTCGATGATTTTACGACCTTCTATATTATTCCAATTATTGTTGAAATCTAAGGAGTATTGATGAGTGTCGATAGCAACGATTTCCGGATGGTTTGGTACTGATGTGTTGGTGTCTCTGGTAGTATCAAACTTTCTTTTCTTTATAATCGGAGTAAAGTGTGTAGTATCACATGCGGCATCTCCCTAAATTTTTATGTCAAAATTGTATTCTTTAATTTTATGAATTGATTTATTTGTACCGTTTGTACAGACTTAATCGAATAAACTGTACAGAGCCAAGTAAAATTGTATTCTGTCTATATGTTTTCAGGTTTGACTCTGCTGTCTTTTGAAGAGAAT